AGCAATATTGATTGTTAAACAATTTTTTCTATTGAAAACAAGAAAAAAATTTTTTTATTATAAAATAATTTCCTTGTCGATAAAAAAATTGAGGAAATTCAAGAATATAGAGTGCCTGTGCTTTTAACAAGAGAATGCGATAACCTAGGGCGTCACGTATGTACGTGGTCTCTTAACTCGATTAGAAGACACAACCCCTAACCTCGTAATCGAACAGTGAGACCAAGTGAGACGCTTTCACTCGCCAGTTCAAAAGCTTTCACATATTTAAGAGTCACATTGGTGCATTGACTATTGATTCCAGTAAACATAAATTCACTTTCAAAATTTACAAACTTTTTCTTTTTTCTTTTATTTTTGTTCTATTCTGTCTTATTTTTGTCCTATATAGTCCAATTTTTTATTTTTGTCCTCTTTTATACTATTTTCAATTTTTTTTATTTCTTCTATTCTTCTATTTTCTCTATTTTGGTAAATATAATAAACAAAATGTTTCTTTTTAATCTGGCTAAATTGAAAATAATTTAAATAAAACAATATTTACTTAATGATAAGAAAAAAATTATCACTCAGAATAGAATAAAAATTACTAACAAATTGAAAGAATAAATCTAAGAGTACAATGTAATTAAAAAAATAATATTGTTTATAGAATTTGAAAACTGTATTTTTCAGAGTAAAATTTCTGGAAAAATTTAATTTTATAGAAGAGGTATTATTTCTATTAGTGAATATTTTTCATAGTTTACGAAGAAAAACATTCAATAAAAAATTTTGAAAAAAATTCGACTGTTTAAAATTATTGAAAATACTGAGTTGTTAATAATAATAATAATAATAATAATAATAATAATAATAATAATAATAATAATAATAATAATAATAATAATAATAATAATAATAATAATAATAATAATAATAATAATAATAATAATAATAATAAAAATGTTAAGAATAGTAAATGAAGAAAGTAATTTTCAATATTTAAGAAATAAAATTATGAAGGGTGAAAATTTATGTTCAACTTGGAAATAATTCTTTTTTCTTGAATTAAAAGAAAGGGATTATTAAAAAAACCAACGAGACAAAAGAGTTAAAATATAAATTTAGGAGAATACAGAAGTTTTTTCTAACAACAATAGGAGATTTTTTTTTCACTTCTTTATATTTTTTCTAGAGTAAAGTACTTGAGTGATAATTACGAAAAAAGAAAAAGAAAAGAGTGATTCTACATTCTTTTGTTTATGGTAATACTTATCATTTTATCTCACACAGAATGTGAACATCTATTATTATTATTATTATTATTATTATTATTATTATTATTATTATTATTATTATTATTATTATTATTATTATTATTATTATTATTATTATTATTATTATTATTATTATTATTATTATTATTATTATTATTATTATTATTATTATTATTATTATTATTATTATTATTATTATTATTATTATTATTATTATTATTATTATTATTATTATTTATTATTATTATTATTTTATGTTTATTGTATTTATTATCATTATTTTTATTATATATTGCTATTTTTTAAATACGTTTTTAAATAAAGGTTTTTTTAAAAACTTGAATTTAAATGAATAATTTAACTATAATAATAATATTAGTTGATCAGTTATATTTATAGTTGATTTAAATAAAAATTATTTAATTAAACGAGTATTTAAATTGAATAAATTTTCATCAGTGTAGACGAAAGAGAAAAATTTTATTACAAAATAATAGCGGATTAACAAGAAAATAATAAAATATTCTCGACTGGAAACAAAACATAAATAATAAAACAGTAAAATTATTAAATATATAATAATATCAAAGTAAAAGTTGGATTATCTATATTTAAATATCATTATTATTTTATTATTATTATATATTTACAAAATATTATTTTCTTTTTAATTTCATTTAATGTACTTTAAAATAAATATTCTTAAAAATTACAATAATTTTAAGAAGAATTCTTGAAAAAAAATTTACTAGATTCAAAGATTACTTGTCTATTATCAAATAAATATTTACTTGAATCAAATAATTTTTATATTTAAATAAAATAAACTCTATTTGAGCCAACAATAATTTTGATATATTTGAAGCAAATACAATTTAATGGATTTAAATATAAACCACTTGATTTAAGTAAACATTTATTTAATAATAGACAATTTATTGGTTTATTTGAATCAAATAAATCTTTTTCCACTGTAAAAATCCGCAAAAGTTACTGACAGTTTAGATTTTACTGTGAAAGTAGTAAAAGTCACTTTATTTACAGTTTTCTTGAAGCTATCAAAATTGATACCAAGTTGGTTCTAAAATTGATACCAAAAATGTGGATCAAATTACGACTTGATCCATATTTATGATATCACAGTTCGCTGCAATTTATTTATTATTACAACTTTTCCTGCAGTCTAAAAGAATCATAAATGTTTAAATAATATATAAAAATAAAAAAACTTATAAATATAGAAAAGCAATAATAATAATAATTATAATAATAATAAAACTAGTAAAAAAAATATGTCGTAATGAAGAAAAGAGAGAATATAAAATACAGTTAATTACGTGGATTTCAAAGAGAAAGATTAAAGTATTAAACTGACATAGAAATATACTTAAAACGTTATTTTTCATAATAATTGTGACAGTAATCATACAAAGCAAAGTTAATAAACGAAGAGGCGAGATACAGTTTCCCAATTTAAATATTTTTTTTAAACATAAACTTATAAAAGTATTCAAACATGTTAAGAATTTTTTTCAACAAGAAAGCATTTTTTTTCCTGCACTGAGAAAACATTACAAAAATAACTTTAAGTAATTTTGTTTAATTAAAATCAGTTTATTAAGATTAATTCTAATATATAGAAAATATCTACTACTTTGATTCAAAAATATTTTTTCTTTGTATAATTATGCCACAGTTTTCTTGAAAGTATCAAAGTGGATGAAATTGATGCCAAAAATGTGGATCAATTTTTGATTTGATCCACATTTTTGCTATCAATTCGTTGCAATTCGATAACTTTAAGTCAACAGTGTGTTTAACTCAAACATATTTTCTGTTTTGAGTAAAAAAAAATATGTTTATAAATGTTATGTTTGATTTAAACTTAAAAGTTGATTATAAATAATTTAAAATCAACTATAACTTAAGTTTGAATTAAATATATTATTTCTTTAAATAAACTAAAAAATATCACTGAGGAAACAATTCATTTTTGTTATACAGTCAACCGAAAATTATTTTTAAATTACACATAATAATTTTGATTCAATACATAATAAGTTTAATTACCATAAAAATTACGTTTAATTCAATTAATTTAATTTCAATTAATTCAATTTCAATTATAAAATAGGTTTAACTCAAATATCACTGAGATAACAATATATTTTAATTAAACATAATTATCTTTGTAGTACAGTCAACCGAAAATTATTTTTGAATTAAACATAATAATTTGGATCCAATACATAATAAGTTTGATTCAATAAAAATTACGTTTAATTCAGTTATAAAATATGTTCAATTAAAACATATTTTTTTGGTTGGCTATCTATTTTTTAATTAAAAAGGACTTTTTCTTAGCGAAATTTTTTTGGTTCACTACATATTTTTGGAGTAAAAAAATTTTCCCTCAGTGATGTCTCAATGAAACTTAAATATTTTTGACTGAATAGCAAAGATATTTTCAGTTTGATTTAAACAAAATTTCTCCGAATCAAATAAATGGTTTTCTTAGTCTTCACTAAAAGCAATAAAATAAAGCAAAAGTGATTTCACACTCAATCGAAAAAGGTCAAGTGGTATTTTTGCATTTACAGTGACAATAATAGTGAAAATGTTAATTTTCCAACTCAGCAGTAATTAACAACAACAAAAATTGTATTTTTTGCAAAAATAACAATAATAACAATAATAATAGTACAGTCAATATTTTTAGTGAATAGTTAGAGTAACTTTTTCGCACAAGATGATTTTTGATTTCAAGATGATAGGAAAATAAGCCAACCATACAAAGTGAATCTGGCAACAGAGCTAATCATAAACTAAATTTCGCCATGAATAGTACACTAATTAGTAATCAAGGATGGTGCGGAGCTGAAGGTAATTCAGTGGACGTGGGAGATGAAATATGCAGGAGGCCGGGTGTGGAGGCCGCAGAGTATGGATTTCCTCAGAGAGGCCGAACAGCCGAGGCAGAAATGAGGATGCTGCGTAGGAAGGGTGATCATACACACACAAAAATTTGACATTGACTTTCGCAAATAATAATAGAATTTCAAAACAGAAAAAAATGCTACAAATCTCTTTTCATTAAGTACAGTAAAATACTACTCACAATTGTATTCATCTTTTTCTCCCTCTCTCTCAACATGGCACCAATCAGCAAAGACTCCCGGCTCAAAAAAAAATCACGCTCCAAAAAAGAAATGAGAAAAGGAAGAAGAAACATGAGAAAGATTCTCTTTTCTGAGTGTTGAGTACTATTTGAGTAGTATTTAAGTATTATTTGAGTACTATTTGAGTACTATTTGAATATTGTGTTTGAGTATTGTGCTTTAGAGTATTACTTGTCTGAAAAATACTTTTACTCCCGTGGCAATATGCGAGACGTGAGGGAAATAATTTTGACATTTTAGAAAACAACGTTTACGACACGCTCCTCTTGGATGAACTGAGCTCTCCCCCCCTTGCGCCTGCCTTATATAGCACCCCCACCCCTATTCATTTCCCCTCGAAATCCCCACTCCGCCTCGATCCCCTACGTGGCGATGCCGCTTGAGTGGGGATGGATCGTAGTGGTCCACCAAGGACCTAGGCCGTGTCCCAAATGACAATGTGAAAACTTTGTGTTCTAACCTCGAACCCTTTCCTCCTCCTCCACTATCGTACCCTCCCTCCCCTTCCTCCGCATATTCCCACAGTTAGACCAGCGAATATGTTAGTAGTACATACCGCGGTGTTCGGAATATCCCTCAGGGTCAAAACGGGGAAACAGGTAGATTGGCCGATAGATTATCCAGATTAACCCATTTTGGAAGGGGGAGGGGGGCCGATAGGGGGTGAGAGAGATAAAGTGACTTAGAGATGAAAATCACAAATGTTTGATATCGTGAAGATTAAGAGGTTGTAAAACATGATGAAAGTTGTTAGGAAAGCTTCTTTATACTATCCTATAGGTTTGTGGTGATGGTGGTGGTGGCTTTTAACTCGCGCAGGGATGCTGCTACTACTGCAAGAGAGAATCAATTTCGTTTAATTATTGTAATTGGGCATCGTTAAAGAGAGTGAACTTTGGATGAAAGTAGAGCAAAGGACGTAGTTAATGTGAAGGGGATAAATGTTATGTATATTAGGGTGATCGTTATCTTGTGGTTTACTCAAAATACCATCCTAAGGTAGCTATTGAGTTCAGCGTGCTGCAGAGAGAAAGAGAGGGGGGAACAGATCGTTCGAGGAGTTAATTATTCTTGACTTAAACATAATCTCATGAAAATTCACTAACTTGGATTTATTAGCACAAATTTTACTAATATCATCATCATCATCATCATTATTAATAATAATAATCTTATTTTTCAAATTGTTAATATCTTTATCAAATATAATTTATACTACACTGTACTGGGTTGCCACAGGTCAGGGATGTCAGGGAAAGTAGAATTACCCAGGAAAAAATCAGGGGTTTTCATTCAAAGTAATGGAAAAAATTAAATTTTTAGAATTCATAAGAAACATTTGAATTTTTGTGTCTTTTTTGTTTTCAAAATTAATTGAATTTTAAAAGAGTTGCGTTCACAAATTTGATAAAAAGATGTACTTGAAATAAGGTTTTAATTTGAAATTATATAAAACATTAATTTTGAATAAATTTAATTAGAAATTTTAAAGAACTTAGATTATTGAAAAATTTTAAAATTAAAATTCTTCGGAAATTAGTTAAATTTTTTAATGTACATTTAATTTATTATTAAAAATAATGGATTTATAGAAGAATTTTAGTGAAAAACAATGATTTTTAATATCTACTATTTTAATAAAATTTTCTAAAAGAATTCAATAATTTAAAAAAATTTTAATACAATTCTACGCAAACATTTAATTATTTTCATAAATAATAAAAATTTCACAGGAATTCAATTATTTACAAATGTTTTTATAAATTTCTTTGCAATAATTCCATTATTTCCACAAAAAATGTAATTATTCTTAAACATTTTATTAAAATTCGTCAAAAGAATTCAATTATTTAAAAATTTGTTGATAAAATTCTTTACGAGACTTACATTATTTAATAAATTTTTTATTAGTTTCAATGCTTATTTTCAAAATATTAAAAATTTCCAAAACTCCAAATTTCCTTTGTCGTTGCGAGTATAAAACAAAATGTTAAAAGCGTTGCGTTTGCAATTTTCATAAATAGATGAACTTCAAAAGATTTTAATTTGAAATTATATAAAATTTCCATTTCAAATGAATTTAATTAGAAATTTCGAAGAACTTAGATTTTTGAAAATTTTAATAGGTAATTCAAATTCTTCTCAAAGCAGTTAAATTTTTTAATTTTCAAAAGTAATAAAATTCCTCTCCGAAATTCAATTATTTTCCAAAATTTTTCTGAATTCAATAATTTTCAATATCTAATACTTAAAAAAAATTTTCCAAAATAATTCAACGATTTTATAAATTTTGTCGTAATAATTCAATTATTCGCATAAATAATAAAATTTTTTACAAGGATTCAATTACTTTCATGAATAATAAAATTCTTTTTCGGAATTCAATTATTATTTTCATAAATAATAAAACTCATCGCAGAATTTTAATTAAGTATTTTTAATAAAATTTTAGGAATCCGGTCAAGAAGTCCAAAACCAAAAGTCCCAACCAAAAAATCCAAAGTAAAAGAAAACTAAAAAAGTAAAAAAAATAGTTTCACTTTGGACTTATATTTTGGATTTTTTGTTCTGGTTGAAAAGTCCAAAGGAATTAAAAATCCAATGACTTTGGATATTTTTGTTTTAGATTTTTTGTACTTGGACTTTTTTTCTTGGATTTTTCGGTCTGGATTTTTTGGAATGTATTTTTTGTCCTGTAATCAAAATTTTAATCTTATTCTTCAAAAAATGTAATTATTCGAAAGAATTTAATTATTCAAAAATTTGTTTGATAAAATTCTTTATGAGAATTCAGTTTTAAAAAAACATTTAATCATTCAATCAATTAATTATCTTTGAACTTAAAAAATCCAATTCTGGTAGAATTTTCTAATCAAAATTGATTTAAAAATGAATTTTGGTTAAAATTTTAGATAATAATTGAATATTAAAAGCATTAAGAGCATGAATTATAATGCAAACTTATTAGTTGTTGAATTTTAAAAAGGTTTGAATTTGAAATTCTTGAAAATCAAAAATGTCTAAAAAATGATATAGTTTGAATTTTGACAGAAGAAATGTACCAAAAAAATGTATTTATAAAACTGCTAGTATAAGCTATTACGTGACAATATAAATAATTGCAAAAATACAGAAGAATATTGAGATTGAAAATTTATATATATATTTATATATATATTTGTATTCGTATAGTGAAAGATAAATTTGAAAATACGTTAAACGATATTAGACTATTTTATGAGGAGGAATTTTGTAATTGTAATTTGAAACATAATTTTGAAATTTGAATCTCCTTCATTTTGGTTGTTATTATCATTACCGTATTTCACTGTTAGATTTAAATGCACAATAATGTAATTTCTGCATGTGTAAAGTGAAATGAAAGGTCCCTCTATATTACACATTTAATTCCCACAAAGCTATTGCTAGATTATATATCTGATAGAACCTGTAAACTACGTTATGTAGTTCAACATTAATTTCTCTCTATTTGCATATATAGATATAGATATATAATTGAAAAACGATGCTGCTCTTTTGGTCAAATTAAATTTCGTTATAGAATTTTGTTGCCCACAAAATTTCAAGAAGCTCTCGAGCATATATTTTTCATTTTACTTACTCATATTCTAATTCCCTTTTTAATACTATAATAATAAAATAACTAATTTTATACTTTCTTTTTTTATTAAAACTGTTTTTCTAGTATTTTTATAACAAAAAGCACCAAACATGTTTCTCACGTATTTCATATATTATATTTATTGCTTATTCATTTAAGATTTTATTTTTGAATTTTATTTTTAAATATTCACAATTAAAATGAAAATTATAATTATTTCTTCCATTAAGAACATATAATTATTATTATAGTATGCGAAGTTAAAGCGAATTTTCATTCAAAAGTGGTTCAAAATAGATTATTTGTCATAAGAAACAAACGATATTGATTAACAGTTTCTATAATAAATTTCGAGTTTAACGACTTTTCATTTGGAAACTGTCAATCATTGGAAATTGGAAATTCTAAATTTGAAATAATTGTATGAAGAAAATATTGTAATTATAAATAAAACATCTTTAAAGATTAATTAATAAATTTTATTTTCAATCTATTTAAATTTTAAATTAAGTTCATTATATAATTAATATTTTATTACAATTTCCACTCTCTGTTTTTGTAGTTATTTAAGGAAAAAATAATTAATTTTTATTTTCTAAATTTGAATTAGTAAAAATGTTTATACTAATTTGAATTAGTGACTGACTTTTTGGTTTTGAATTAATAAATTTTACTAATAAACAATTATTTGTCAGACTTATCAACTATTTTGTAAATTTTGTATTATTAAGCTAAAATAAGTAATATAAATACAATTTTTTAATATCTCTACCAGTAGTAAAACCAGTTTCAGTCAGACGTTAAATTTTCTTGTAAGTCTTAAATCAGTAGTAATAGACCACTTTAGTCAGACTCGTCGTTTTCTATAAGTAGGTAAAAACGTTTTTATTCAGACGTACAGTTTTTTTTAAATTTTCTAGCAGTAGTAAATTTTACTTCAGAGATTTTACGGTGATTGTGATACATATTTAGTAGTAAAATGCAGTTGCAGTCAGACAGAATTATAAATTATTTGTAGCAGTAGTAAGAGTGAGTTTTAATCAGACTGTTCGATATTTTTCTAAGGACAAGAAATCCATATTTAAGCTTATTAAAATTTAAGTTTACAGTAGTAGTAGTTAAAATAGTAGATGAGTAGAGAAAGTCAGTTTTGGTCAGACCTGATTACTTTTTTAGCTACCAGTTTTCGTCATAAATTCGTATGATTTTTTTCTTGTAAACCTTCCAGCAGTAGTAAAAATCACTTTAGTCAGATGTATGGTTTTCTGTCGTAATTTTTGAATCAACAGTAGAAGGCCGTTTTAGTTTTTAGTCTTTTGTTTATAATTTTGTTTTCTGTTATCTTTAGATAGATTGTATATTATATTATTATGTTATAATTATTTTTATTTCATAATTTATTCAAAATTGTAATGACAAATAGAAATCATCAGAATTTTTTTCACTTCTTTTCATTAAAAGACTAAAATTTTGTTAAATATTATGTTTTGTCAAATTGAAATTATGCAGATTTTTGTTCTTTACTTCTAAAGAAAATTAGAAAATTGTTAAACAACTGTGATTAAAAAATAGAAAATTTATTTATTTTACATTATTTTTGTTTATGAATCAAAATTTTTTTAACAAAATTATTATTTTGTTTTAGAAAAGGAAGAAAAATATTTGCACAATTTCTATTTTTAATCTTATTTTTAGAACACGATTTTCCACAGGAATTAAGACATTCAAAAATTTCAAATTCAAACCTTTTTGAAATTAAACAACTTATAAAGATGACCGGGAGATAAAATCATTATTTTATATTATAAGAATATTGTTACTGCAACTTCATCAAAATTATTTTTATCATTTTAATTCAATTATTATTTTCTAGAATTTTAAATTATTATTTATGAAAATAATTAAATGTTTGCTTATAATTTTATTAAATTTTTTTTTAAATAATTGAATTCTTTTTGGGAAATTTTATTAAAATAG